AAGTCGCATAGTATCCTAATCTGCAACGACGGCCAACAGCCGTCGATGCAGTTTCAGCGGCAGACACCGCGACGACATCGTGACGCCAATGATGACGAGTCGGCAAGCGTAAGCAGTTTTCGAATATGACTGTTCGTCTTTGATCAACTGTAAACAAAATCGCTAAAAAAAATACAGAAATTATTTTGTTTTCGAAATTTTTTAATAATATTATTGTGTCAAATGTATTGGATTGATGAGAAAGTTCTTTTGAATTTTTCCGTAAAAATAAGAGGCAAAAATCCGAAGAAACGTGATCGATCTAATATGGTATTATTAAATATTGATGCCTGACAAAATATTTCACACTTCGCGATCGTAATATCGTACATTTTCGACGATCGACTATTATTTAACGAGTTGAGTAATATGAGGATGCATCGATTTCTTTCTGTAATTTCCATACGTGCTATTTTGAACACGAGCAACTTGGTTGCTAGTGAATCATTCGATATGCTTCGCGCGTGCGAATGTCGGTCGTGGATTGTAAATTATGGTTTCGCGAGCGACAACGACGACATGCGGAGAACGCGTCGCCCTCGTGGACGATGTACGCGGGAACACCTGGCCTTTTTCTTATCGGAAATAGGTGGAACGCACTTACTCCTAGTTCAACGTCATACCTATCCAACGACCGTCTCACTTATCCACAATGCACTCGCTGTTCCTTCGTCGACGCACTCCAGCGTCTCATACGAGTGCTTTTATTTTACGTTTCGTCAAATTCTAACACGAGAAAAAAATTAACGAAGCTAGGGAAACACTCTTCTTCTTCGAATGTATTGAAAAGTGTGAACATTCACGTCCAAAGATACTTATGTTTTTTTATTGTTAATTTTTATCTTATCTAAATCATTATCTATCATCATCAGCTACCACGAGTTCTAACGAGTAGAAGAAGAAGAAGAAGATGATGATGTAGAAGGGACTGGTGAGGTAGAGATAAAGAGGCTATTCAATCTCTGAAAATCTCGTCGTAAACCGCATCGATATATATAAGCGCTGCGTTTACTCGTATTGCGGATAACAGAGACTGTTTTTGTGGTGGGTCTGGAAGATAAGGGCAACCTCTGGCCTCAATGTACAAAACCTCTTCCGCTCGTCCAGCGAGCTGGAAACTCCGCTCTCTCGAGCTACCGTTTAGGAGCGGCCGTCACCGATTTCTCGCGCGCGTATTTTGCAGGGCAATAAACGAGCGCCCCGTTTTCCCCGCGTCGTAAATAATTCCAGAAGCGTCTTATCGCGCTCATCTTGCGTTTTGTTGCATTTTGATAACTCGAGAAGTATCGACTCGTCGAAAATGAAATAAGAAAGACGAATTAATATTGGAGATAAGATAAGATTGCGCAAACTAAATATCGAAGTTAATAAAAGTAAATATTAGATTTGTAAAGTAAATTTTGAAGTTACCTAATATAATTCGGGCCATTCGGAATATGTTTTTTATAATTTGTAAGAGACTGAAGAACTTACAGCAGAGAGAAAAAAAATGGAATGTATTAATTGTAGAATTTTATAAAAAAGGCGGAATGTAGATTTTACATGGAATATGAAAATACAATCCACTTGTGTATCGGTCGTCGAAGAATCAAAGCCGACTGTTCCTTTGTCGATGTTGACTATTTGTTTGTTTGACTGTTCCAACAATGGGAAAAGATCCCTTCTGCTCTGCAGCTGTACACGCATATATTTTCTTCATGGAATGATTAATCGGGGTCGCGGCTCTGCATCTCCTCGTCTCAGATACGGGGCGACTAATTCCTTTCCGTTGATCTTAAAAAGTCCTTTATTCGAAACTTTATATTTGGATGATATTCATATTGCGCCTTGCATTTAGCGTTTTGCACTTTAAATGAATCCATGTTAAAATGCGCAAATATATTTAAATATTATTCAATCATCATTGAATGTATATTTAATTATTACGAAATAAGATTATTTTAATGATATAAAATTTTTCGCAGCTCTCAGGAGAGTATTTTGATATTTTCAAAATAATTATACTGATACTTTTAAGTATTAAAAAAAAATTATTATTGATAAAAATAAAATTTTCATAATTACTCATTATTTTGTAATGCGTTTGAAGAATAATCTGCGACAGAACGCATTATCAGAGCTATGCACCAGAACACCCTGCAAACGCGTGCAAATTTTATTTACGTTACTTCGGAGGCTGCTCGAGACTGTACTTAGGCCTTTTGTGCAAAAATATGTTTTTTAATAGAATTCGCTGAGTGGCAACGGCAGATAATCCAGTGAGCCTGACCTCTCCAATTCGATTAGGTAACGTCAATAAGGTCGGCTGAATGTTAAACGGTCGATATATCGCGTTCAGGAGTGATGATACCGACGTCTTGAATGAACGTCATTAAATCGAATCATCTTTCCTCAAACAAAGAATATATTTTATTATCGGAATTATTAAGATTACATATATGATATATAATTCTTAAGTATGTATTTTAATGCTCGAATCAACGTTGAAGTTTAACGTGTATAATAATTATTTAATATTTCCGATAATATTTAAATTACATAATAGAAAGATAATAATAAGCAAGATAAATGGTCAGATAAACATGACTGTAGTGACTTTTGGCACCGATTTAATTTTAATTTTCAATTATTTTTGGAGAAAAAGAATAAGTTCGGCAAAGTAAAATTATCGAAAACTTTGCAATGTGACGAAAGGTTTGTTGGTTCATTAGTCATACAGTTAGATGCGTAATGATATTTGAACTTTGTCGGATGAACACAGTTACAAGCTAGATTCAGATTGGGACGCACGTGACATTTCTGAGGTTTCCCCTCGTGCGCCAAGATTATTACTCAGCGGCCGCGTGGACAATCGAGTTACGCATCAAATTGTCACGATCGGGCCGATCGGATCGGCCCATATTGCCTCGTTCGAGGTCAGACAATGGTTTATTAAGAACGCAAGAGTTGTACGTGCAGTATACCGCATTTTCGTTCCAATTATTTAACACAATTGTTTGAAATATGTCGAGCAAAAAGTGCCGATTTTCCAGAAAATCGATGCACTTCGAAATTAGTAATTCCAGAAATATAAACTGAACGACAAATATTTAGTTATTTTAATCTTATTTTATCTCCTTTTATCAAGCGAATTAAATAATGTGAGATATGTATTTCAATGTGTTTTTTAAAAAGTGATTTATATTTAAATATATTCTATAAATATATTATATATAAATATGTTGATAGCTTTGTCGTCTATATATAGAAAGAGATATCTTCTGTGTATATAATATACATACAGACGACAGGAATAATTCTTAGACACTCTGTATACGTGAAACATAAACCGAGTTTACCCCGGCAAGAGCGCAATAAAATTGAAGACCATAGGATCACTGTGTACGTGCTCGTTGGTCCTGCCACGATTTGTGGTGACCCTTGACGATTAAAAATAATATTTTTATCTCCGCGAGAGAGAGAGAGAGAACAGCTCGCGAAACCATTTTTCCCTCGTTTCTTTGCTCTTTTATTAGCCTCGTTTCTCTCTTTCTCTCCGCGTATTGCTCTCTTCCTCGCCTCTTCGTACACGCACGCAGTGTCCATCCGTACGTGAATGCGTGTGCCACCACTAACGACGCGTAGATAAGAGCACGTGGTTATTTTTGTAACGCACCGGCTAGCAACAGTTTCTCGGTGTCATCGGTACATCGGACGCGTGTGCGTCCTACGTCTGTCGAATCTCGATCGATTTCGACACTCTTACGAGACAATCATTGCGTGATTACGCGATCGCGATCACTCGGTTAGAAAGAACTACGTACGTAGCTAAAACGCATCTGTTTTTTTCCTTCCTCGAACTTTTCGAGACCAATTAAATTGAAATATTTATTCGCGTTCGTTCTTATATTTCAATAATTATAATTAGTACTATATTTTATAAATATTCTAAATTCTTTATTCTATTTTTTTTCTTAATATTATACAATCCTATTTTACAATTCCTCTTTTTTAACTTTAATTTTAACGAATTCTCTAATGAGTTTGGAACAAATTTTTCTTAGCAGAAATATCGAAGGAGATTATTATTTTTTATGACTTTTTTGTGTTTAGTATTTTTTTCTTTTTTTTTAAGAAACAAGACAAATTATATTTAACATCATAATTTTACTATAGCACTATTACTATAATACAAAGTATTTCTATAAATATTTTCTTTGAAATGTTTGATAAGATGGATTCTCGATAAGATACGTCCCACGGTAAATAAAATGATTGAATGCATTTTTCTGAAACATTTAGTTGCGCGTTACGACATTGCTTTCTACATATTAAGATGTGTGTTTGTATGTGTTGTAAACGTTTACTTGCGGATGAGTCCATATTTCGGAATCTTGTGACACGATTATGCAACTTATTACCCTCGTAACTTGTTTTTGCCGTTGACAAAGTAACTAACTTATGCTTGAAAAGATAAAATAATGCGATATATACTTTCTTCATCTTCATCAAGGCACTTTGAGATATCCCTTGACGAGAATGATATGCAAGAATTTGCGGGAGTTAAATGCAAAATGTTAATTGTATGCTTATGAGGATATAATTTGTCTTCGTAAAGATGTAAATTTGTCTTTGTTTGCAGACCACAGTCCTCACTGAATTGTAGATCGAAAATTTGCATAAGTTAAAAAACCGAGAAATACCATGTATTTGAATCTTATATTTTTGAGAATCCTGTAAAAAAGAATAAATAATGGTGATAATTTACTTCTTAATAATCTTATGAGATTAAAATTAAATCAAATTAAGATAAAAGATGCTATTAGATTTATCGCCGGTAATACCACAGTGCTAACCGTTACTTCATTATCACTAACGCTCCCCTCAAAAGTACCGCACGTGTGCGCTGAGTTAGGGTTTTTTCTTTCACGGGCGAACATGCTCATAATATACCCAACGAATCGTATTTGACGATTGTGTAGTGTTGATCGAGTATGTCGGGGCCGCGGAACCGGCGTCGCAATCCGCGCGGGAGGCAGTCAAGCAGGAGGAGGCAGAGGCGGTGGCGACGATAAAGACTGAGGACGTCATCGAGCACGAAGTCGGCCAGCAGCAGGAGCAACAGCAACATCAGCAACAGCTGGTGTACGTCGCGAAGGAAGAGGTCGGGGAAGAGAGTGGTGTGGGCGTGCTGGAGGCGGGACAGCTGGAAATGGAAAATGGCGCCCTGGTAGAGCCAACCGGTGCTGAAGTAGTCGCTATTGCAGTCGCTGCCGCTGCCGCCACCACCACTGCCACCGCCACCGACGATCACGTCAATGAGGATCCCAACGCTACTTATACCCTTCACGAGCTGGGCTACCATTCCGCACACATAATCCATGAGAGGTAAGTGAGTCAGGGCAAAATATATTGATCCAATATCAGAATAGATATCTGTCTTTTGCAAATAATGCGGAACAACGGACGGAATTTTATCGCGATTTTTGTGTCGCGTTATTTTATGTGCACATTTTATTACATCGGCATTTTTGAAGCAAATAAAAGCTTTCTGTAGTATTCTGTAAATTTTGTATAATTTTTTTCTTGATTGTTTACGTTTCTTAGATTTATTTGCGAATGATGTGGATATTGTATTAAGATAATGATGTTGAGCATTAAATGTAAAGGTTTCTCAGGATTTTTATAAAAATCAAAGCAGTTTAAGTCTTAATAATTTTGTTTTCACGTATTAAATTATTTTGTTTTTCTCAAAATTATTCATTAATCAAATTCTGAATCATATTTATTAATCAAGCTGTGAAATTGAAAAATATTATTATTTTAATCCTAATTTATAAAGTAAAAAAATTATTACAATTATGAAATTCCACTGCATTGTCTGACATAAAATTTATTGAATAAATTCTAAAGTAAATAAATAAAGAATTCAAATTTCAAATAAAAATTTACAAATTTTTTATCGTCAACGTGGAAAATAAAAGCTTCTTAAATATTATCTGTCATGCATATATAACATATCAAGAATAAACAAGAGCCTTTCTATTTTAATTCAACCCCCAGTTTCGAGAGTGGCGACATAAAAGAGGAACAGCAACAAGTTTCACAGCCGCCCCACCAGTCGCACCACCAACAACTTGACACGCACCACCATCATCAACACACGCCACAGCAATACGTTCAGCTTGGGGCGACAGAGGTCCCGGTTCCCGAGGGAGGGGATAACCGGCACTCGTCGGAGGTCTCCATTACGCCGCAGGGACGCTGTGCTAGCAGTCACATGCTTCACTCTACGATGCATCGTTACGGTACAGACACGCTCTCGTCGACTACTACGGAGCACCATCATCATCATCATCAGCAACAACAACATCATCACTTATCCGAAGTGCATCAACATGTCACCGTCTTGCCGTCCGCTCATCGTCACCTCGAGGATTCGCAACAGCACCATCATCAAGAACCCGACGATGACGTGGACCGAAATGTGAGTAGCATCACTGCGGCCATGAGGGGTGCACGGGGTGATTACCTGAACAGTCTGCTGAATGAAACCACTCGAAATGTGTTTTTCGAGAATCTGCGAATCGCGTCGAACACCGCGTCCAATAACGGCGGCAACAATCATCACCATCACACGCCGCATCACCTGGAGGACGTGCTCTCCGAGGAGTCCTATCTGCAGCATCAGATCCGCACGAGTGGCGGCTCCCCGTCGGTGAGAACTGTCGGTGGTGGCTCTCCAACTTCCAGCCACAGTCCACACGACGAGCAGGGTCTCTCGTCACCGCATCGCCAGACTCAGGAGGCCGGTTACAGTCCCAACGATCCAGGTAGACTGCAGTCCTTCACGCATCTCACGTCCATGCAACCGCCGCCGTCGGTGCAGACAAATCACGGGCTGCAGGAGGCCGATCGTGTGTCCGATCCGATATACATGGACTCGATCTACACGCATCACGCAACTGCCGCCGGCACTCCTCATCATCATCAGGATCAGCACGAGCAGGGCGCCTCAGCACCGCACTCGCCTAGTGGTCCGCTCTCCAGGTTAGTGATTGTTATCGTTATCATCGTCGCGTGCCGTAGACCGTGATGTGTCAGATGTGAAGGGATCCAGGCTAATTATTCGGCTCCTTGCCGAAGTTACATTTTTTATCATCTTACCTTTAAATAACAAAATATTTTTTATAATAAAATGGGTAAAATAACTAATAAACATGCGTTGACCAGTGTTAACGTCAGTGTTAAGCGTGAGAAAATTTTAATGTGCTTTTTTTTACGTTTTTTTTTTTAGTAGAAATGTGATATTGATGAATCGTAATCTTAAATTGCACTATTGTGTGTGTGGCATCGTTCGTTGACACCGCGTCGCGACGTCTTTCCGCGAGATCTGCGGTCATTCCGCGCGAAAAATTCGCTTTGCTTGAAGTTCATTATTTACCGGGAATATAATCAGTCGTCGTCTCCGAGACGTTAGATTTAATATAGGATTATGCGTCACTTTTGATATCTCGTCGTGTGCAAAACGGGAATCTAATTAGCAACGATGTAAAATTATAATGTGTTATATTATTAATAATTATGTGCTACACACATCATATCGAGGTCTACATTCAGATAGCATTAGAGCAGTGTTTTTTTTTGCGGTCAGATAAAAGGAAATGATCTCACCATTTGTATTTAAAATCCACAATTGGTTCTTTTGAAGGATCCATGTTTGCTAAACATTAATGCAGAGTTAGTTCGCAACAATCGGACTCCTATTTGTGATTTAAATTTTATTTTTATTCACACAAGTGCGGTGCGATCAAAAGTGCGATTGTTTTGCAAAACGCATGCCGTCTCGCGCTCACGTAAATTTACACGTCCTTCACTGCGCGCAGAAAATATTTACTTGCGGACCTAAGGGCTGTTTCGCGAGGGGCTGATGTATGCGTAGGCGATACATTCACGAAACAAAGCGCAACCGTCGATGAAAGAGCACGACGACGCGCGGCTCTATGCTAACAGGCCACATGAAAGCGAAGATTGTCTCCACCCCCATCGTCGTGTTTGTTGATTTATTCGGCACGAACCCTCAAATTTAGGTGCTTGAGATCCTACAGTGATCGTCTTCGAAACACTCTTCCGCCACGATCCTCGTAATGTGGTTTATTTTTCCATCTGTTGATTGGCCGTCTCAGTTGTCTCAATTTTTTTTGTCATTCTCTTTTCTTTCTTGTATTCCATCACATCATTTCTCTCATATCAGTAGGAATTTTTTTTTATCTTTGACCTGTTCTTCGAAAAGTTTCAATGGAGCGCTCAATATTATCTCAAGTTATTTTTTTAATTTTTGCATGATTTACAGTACATTTTAATACAATTCTTAAAAAAATGTATTTTTTAATTAAAAAATGTATTTATTAATCAATACGAAGATTAGACTAGAAAATATTGGAATTTTACGTTTGTTTAAATAAGAAGAAATGCCAAGGCTACTGATTGAGAACAAATGAAGGAATTTTATCGGAAATTCTATTAGAAAGAGTAATCTTTTTACTTGGGTTTTTTTCGAGCGACTTCCAGTTTTCGCGTGTTTCCCTTCACATTCCCTTCATATTCGATGCTTGTCGATGATAAGGCAAGCAAGTTTCACTGATCCACAGATCGCATTGTTTGCCACCCTCCGATTCCGGGAAGAGAACGAGACAGATTGCTCGCATTGCGAGAATCGCGAGAATCGAAGACATCGTGCGTCATATCCAAGGTTTTATGTTGATTCACTTGATCGGCGCGCGTTTGCGCACACGATGATCGCCGGATTTATCTTTATTACGTGACAATAAAGAGAATATATTCACGGGAGGAATCGCATATTGGCAAAGACGAGTTCACAATTTAATACGGATTCGGTATTGGAACAAGGAGAAAAGAAAGATCGTATCTGAGAAAAATATTATATCAATTGGCGATGTTAAATCGATAACTTCCCGATGCATCGACTACGATACTTTAACTTCATTTACTTTTCCACGATATTTTTGATCACTTTCTTGCTAGTCTTATCAGACGCGCTCGATCTGCATCCGATAAGGATTTATTGACCGATCGATGCGATTGACTGATAGATTTTCATCGTCATCACCCGGCAATTCTTCTACGAAAAGAGAGCAGTCGGATCACCGCGATCGGTTTCATCGCGGCGAATGTAATCGAGAAGGAAAAAGATAAAACGAGGAGAAGGAAGAAAGATGGAAAGCGGAGAGAGAGAGAGAGAGAGAGAGAGAGAGAGAAAAGGAGAGAGAAAGAGGAGAGCTCATAAGCTCTCATAAGCTCTCATAAGCTCTCATTTAAGAATTTCGTGCTTGTTGCTCTCTCACTCACGCATTGTACACGTGCACGGGCCACGACCTTTCCAAATTTGATATCGAAAGTTCGAGTGCAGATCGCGATCCGCTTTGGTCGCTTCTTTTTAATGATGTTTGCTCTTTTTTTGGCCGACTCACGAAATTGCGCTATTGCAGAGAAGTTGTCCGTTTCTCTTATGTAATCTGGCCATGAAGTTACGTAAATTTATTTCAATTTTTTACACTCGTCGAATAAAGATCATACGTTATTCTTGAAGAATCACGAGTCAATTCTACTAATGTCCGGTTTTAGTTGTCTTAATTATTTATAATCTATTTAATAGCATCTTATAGTGTAAGTGCTAATGAGTGTTACGTTTTAGAATAAAAACAAATTATATGAATTAAGATTAATAATATTAATAAAATAAATTAATAATAGTCGATAGATAATATAATAATAAAATAACAGTTGAAATTTTAGCTTTTTCTCTCTTTCTCTCATCCCTAGACAGCTTTAAGAATACTTTATTTTGAAATAATTAGAATCTCTGAACTTTATAGGACTCTCGACTTATTTTGATTAATAAAACTACGTACAAATGAAAGAATCAGTTTTCAAAATACATTATTTTAAAGAAGTAATATTGCAATACGAAGAAAGAAACTTGAGAATAAATAAATCGCAGTCATTAATACTCGTTGGGAGTTTGTTGTGAATCATTTGAGAGTTTACAGTTCATAAATACATCCACACTGCGTTCTACGAATCACATAGAACGAAACCCTTCGCACCAATACAAACTCCCATTGTTTAATCTTTTTGTTTTCTATTATAACGTCTCAGTTTTTATTGCTCTATCATATTTGATATTTTTGCAATTAATGCAATATATTCATATCTAGATTCTCAACTTTATGTTATTATATAAAGTATCGAATGCATGTTACCTATAAAAAATTTTATATTTTTTTCTATAGTTCTATAGTTTGAAAATTGTCTCGAAATTTTTGGGAATTTTCCCTGAAAGAAATTGTTATAGTTTCTCGCTTAAAGCAACTGCACATAGTGCAAGTCAGAGTATCACGACGCGCGGTCAATGTATGCAGCTGTTTCTACATTTAAAGGTGACTCCAGCATTTGTTTTCCTTTGCATGTGTGTTCACGAGTACGGTTGTCTTTCGATGCGAGTATGCCGGCGGAAGTGACACGTGGTGGATTTTGCTTCGTATTTCGACAGCTAATTACTTATTGTTCGTTCGGGATAATTAGCGCTTGTTTATGTTCCCATTACAACGTTTAGTTTAATAAGACTGAATTCAGATTTTGCAAGAATTTGTGATTATCCGACACATCCATTGCAGAAGATTGAATACAGAATTTATTGCAAAATATGTCAATATTTATTAAAAATATATGTAATAAAAAAAAAGTTTTCGTGTTTCTCGTTAGAGAATCTCACAAAAACAAAACGTTGCGCAATTCTACTTTTGCACGTGCGAATTGTTGGGGCATTTCCTTAAAAGCAGGACCAAGCGAGAGGATTCGCTTCGTAATCGGTGGGGAACTTTAAATAGTGGGGCGTCTCGAGTGGTTGGCGGATGCTAGTGGGGATACTTCGTGACAGGCGCGGTTGGAGAAAACGAAGTTGGAATACATCGTGAAATGCGATCACTCGGTGTTGCCGCGGTCGAGAAGGGGAAACACTTGCAAAAAGCGCGAGCGAGTGGGGATGATTGTCCGTCGCTGCAGGAAAGTGGCCGGGTGGGGAAAAAGAGACCAGAAGGGGAATCCTGACCACCTTCGAGGTCCTCCTGGTCCCCATACTACTCGACGTTTCGTGCACTTCGTTAGATTACATGTTGCTCAGTTCGTGTCTGCCTGGTGACAGATACGGGGAGCTCGCAGCGTTATTTCTTTTCTTTGACACGGCGACACTTTTTTTCCTCGCTTTCTGAAATTTACAAGTCTGAGACGAGCAAAGAAAAAGGTGACGAGAAGAAGAGAGATACATATATCGGAGCATATCAGCATCAGCTATCACGTCTGCTAACATGCAGTAAGTCTTTATAATCAGAAATTTTATTTATAAATAATTTATCGTGTGTTTTGTCTACCTATCTATTTATCTTAGGTTTTCATCTTTTTAAATGATGCTTTGTGTGTTGTTTATTTTTTATATGAACAAAATTCACTGGATGCTTATTATAATATTATGTAGATTTTGAATTTTTTGGGATTTTGCATAGCTATAGATTATGAATTTTGCTTATATTTTATCCATAATTGTCGAAATTTGTATACAATCTCTGATAGATGATTATATATGTCACATTTATCAAAATAATGACATTTTTAAAATTTATTTATTATTTAATATATATACTTCAGATACCTTGAAAATAGCTGTTAATTTAGCAAGATTCAAATTTATATCGTAAATTATTATTTGAGCAATATTAATTTTTTACAAGAGTTTCTTTATTTAAATTTCCTCGCGTTTTCGTTGATTGCAGTGCAAATTGTTATTTGTTTTCTACTAATAATCGCGAATGCATTGATATCCACGCAATCGGCCGCTTCAGCTGTACATTTTTTTGGATCCAATCCGATTAAATGCACTGTCTTCGGAAACCCTGACGTTATCACAGTATGATTAAAATAAAAATGAAGCAAGTATCGAACCGATAACAATTGGCACGACGGCAGTGTAAATA